TACTGTATCGCCGTCACCCCTGTTTTTCGGAATTATTAGATGATTGTGGGATTCATGCATACATACCTCAAAGTCCAAAAATAATTATTTAGGGTACACTGTTGATCAACTGCTGAACGAAGGCCTCAAAAACGCCGTACCAGTCTTGGGGGTTGTTTGACCATACTTCGCCGTGCTGCCTAGCGGCGGTTTGAAGTGTTTGGGCAGAGTCGGTTCGTATTTAATCCACGAATGATATCAGCTGGAGTCAGGAATCAAACTCGCGTCGACGGTTTCATAGCGCAGTGTGCAAACCACTGGACCACCACCAACCATCATCTGCAATAACACTGTAGGAATAACAGAAACCGAAATAGAACACGTGCACACACAAAGGAAATCATTTTCACTGAACAAAAAAAAATGAAATTGAGAAAATTGCTTCCCTCCCCGTTTTTTTTTTCATAAAGTAATGTTATTGCTCCATATCGTCACTGTGGCAGTAAACCGGTTCCTGTTATACTTTGCTGTACACTGCTGCGCTTCGCGTCACATTATTAGCAATGTAAATGCGTATGAGTACTGCATGTGCCACGGGTTGACAAACCGCAGCTGGCGAGTTGAGGCCCATACGGGGCTTCTGGCCAGTTGGATTGCACCTCCATTGAGATGCAGCTAATCATATATTTTTACACTTTTCAACCAAAATAAGTAAATCTTGCGGAAGCGGGAAGCGCCTCGGGACACTCGCTTCTGACAGCAGAGCCGAACACGAGGAGTATCCCCCGGGTGGGATGGAGGGGATGTGTGGTGGTGGTAGGTTGGGGAGCGGGGTTAAACCTGCAGATTTCTAAACTCAAAACTCCACAGCCAGCCATCGCAAGCGAAGCGGCTTACGTGACCCCTCCAGGTGACTGCCCCAACTGACCCTCTCTGTGTCTTGTGACGCTCGGCCAGACCAAGGTTAGGGTTTGTGGCTCGTGAGGCCAAGGGTGTGTGGCCCACGCCTCGTTTTTGCTGCAGTGTTTGGCCAAATCACCATCGCAGCGACGAAAGGTCACAGCTGCAGGAGCTTGCGCCCAAGATCATTTAGTTGAGACACCTGACCTGCGTTGTAATTGTGGTGTTGCTGTAGGTGACAGTACAGCAAATAGGTTTGAGTGTTATCTGCTTTTATGTGCGGGTTTACAGAAGGCAACCGGGTTGCTTGCCACGTGCAAAAATGATTGATAAGGAAACTAACAAATATCCCAAGCATGGCTGAGTCTTTTCTAAATAAATTAGGGGGTTATCCTAGTGAGGCATTACAGTATTTGTAATTCTAAATTAGTTTTCAAGATAGAAAACTAATTTCTTTAGAATTGCTCTTTGTTGTCCTTCGCCCGCGCCTCCGATTAAGACGGTTAGCTACGTGCGGTGCGAAAGAAGTTCAGCGTACAAGTCGCCGCCATCCCTCGTGATGCAAAATAAAAACCCATAGAGGTTCCTGCACGCGAGGTGATGTCATTGCTTGACAGTGGACGTCCTCTCGAGGGTGTTCCCCTACTTTGGCTGCCATCCCGCCACCAGTTTCCACACCACCGGCCATCGGGGCCTTCTAGCCACGTGTCCTGCCCAAGCTTTCCTTAATTGTCGTCAATGCGATTTCTCTCATTAATGTGTTTGTCAGAAAATGCATGTGTTCTAAACTATACTGAACTATATGCTTAGTTCTTTCGGTAAAGTTACGTTGAAGGGAAACAACAAAATAATAAAATATATAAAACAATAAAAATTCTCACGACGTTTCGACCATAACACAAACGGTCGTCTTCAGGTGTGTTGGTTTGCATAAATTTATTTTTAAACGGTGCATTTATTTATTTATAAAAAACGTTAGCGCCACACGCAGCGATTTGGCAGTTTATTTAGGACTAGTCCATCTATATTCTGAAAAGAGGAGGGGGGAGACGAAATTTTTATAATGTATGCTGTCTGAAAGCCACTGTAAGCGTGAACAATCAATTAAGACCTGAAATGGTTTATCAAATCTTTCCAATGATTGCTAAGATAGAATCCATCTTCTCGGTTGAAATTGTCTCTGTGCTTGTATATGTGGATAGCCTCATGAACGAATCTCTCATGGTAGCCAGATGGCTTACAAAAAACCTCTGTCTTGGAAAAGTCAATGGCATGGGAGCCTACTGAATTATAACAATGATCTGCCACGGCCGAGGTGTTGGTCCTACCGTGTTTAAGGTCTGCTTTGTGTTCACGAATGCGGTCCGAGACATGGCGTTTGGTTTCTCCAATGTAACTACTACCACAGAGGCAACTTAGTTTGTAGACACCAGGGTACTGTATGTCCGGAATCACATCTTTTACAGATGGAACCAGATCACGGTAGGACCAACACCTCGACCGTGGCAGATCACTGTTATAATTCAGTAGGCTCACATGCCATTGACTTTTCCAAGACAGAGGTTCTTTGTAAGCCATCTGGCTACCATGAGAGATTCGTTCATGAGGCTATCCACATATACAAGCACAGAGACAATTTCAACCGAGAAGATGGATTCTATCTTAGCAATCATTGGAAAGATTTGATAAACCATTTCAGGTCTTAATTGATTGTTCACGCTTACAGTGGCTTTCAGACAGCATACATTATAAAAATTTCGTCTCCCCCCTCCTCTTTTCAGAATATAGATGGACTAGTCCTAAATAAACTGCCAAATCGCTGCGCGTGGTGCTAACGTTTTTTATAAATAAATAAATGCACCTTTTAAAAATAAATTTATGCAAACCAACACACCTGAAGACGACCGTTTGTGTTATGGTCGAAACGTCATGATAATTTTTATTGTTTTATATATATTTTATTATTTTGTTGTTTCCCTTCAACGTGACTTTACCGAAAGAACTAAGAATATGAATTACTGCAGTCACGAAAGCTTTAAATCAAAATTTATACTGAACTATTTTTATTTTACCAGGTAAGGCCCACTGAGCTATATAGCCCTTTTTCCAGAAGTGACCTGACCACAAATGGTAGTTCAACGAATTGGCTTATCGTGTGGAAATGCATAACAGCCAATTACTCCAAACACATGGGTCTTAATGTGGAGGGGAAAATGGGAGGACCCTGAGAAAAATCCACGCGACCACGGGGAGACATGCAAACTCCAAATATATAGGCTTCAGGGTCATGATCGAACCCACAACCTCTTGTATACCAGGCGAGGTAGTTAACATCTCACCACCGCATGTTTTCCTGTGTCTCGGCGTAATTCACAGCATGTCCCTCTCCCCGATTAATTGTTCTTTTTTTGCACTTTTCAGATTTGTCAGTTGCCATGTTCCGGACCCATGTCAAAGCAGGTAGAATGCCCGAATTTAAACTTCTCTGGAGGTTCAGCACCCTGTTGCTTTCTCATTATCAAGTTCAGTTACTTCAAAGGTCTCCAACCTCCCCTTGCTGATAACATACTCATTATAAGAGTATATTCTGATGCGCGATGATCGACTTTGTGGTTAAATGAGCACGTTTCCTGTATCAAATGTCGTGTATGTATTACACATTAACTTGCATATCTTTCTCAACACAGCAGTTGATTAACTAGATTCTTAATCATTAATAAAATCCACAAGCTACAAAGGAAGCAAATACAACCCAACATTCAACACATTTGTACATATTATATTGTATATGATAATTGGCGACGTTTCAGGCAATGGCCTTCAGAGCACGAAGGCCCAGATATCGTTGTTTTTGTTATCTGGGCTTGTTACACCACCGCCAAAACAGTATAAACAAATAAGACGAACCAAATGCAAATTAGAAAACAAGAAAAAAAACCTTACATTGCGTAACACTGCACTTATGAATATAAAAGTATCGATACGATGCTTAAGCAAAAAAAATCCCTCGAGAAAAATATTATATATTCTTGGTTCTTTCGGTAAAGTCACGTAGAAGGGAAACAATTAAAATATAAAACAATATTAGAACCACGCGTGGCAGGACATGGAGAGGAGGGCCCTTGGGTGGGTAAAAGATTATGATACACGCACTCAACCCTCCCACGCACGCCAAAAAAACCCCATTCGCCTATTTTTGGCAGACGTGCGGTAATAAGTTCGCAGTTGGGTGGCCTCGGGAGCATGAAAACACCGCGCGGCGAGGCAGCCCAGGCGGCAAGCTTCGCTTACGTGGAAGCGGCCTCACGCACTCACGGGGGGTGGGCAGGAGGGGAGGAGGAAGCGTGGTGAGAGATAAGCGATCAGTGGGGGGGGGGGGGGGGATGTGTGTGGGCGTGTAATGGGTGGTGGGGCGGTGGTGGTGGTGGTTTTACAACCTAAAACCACCACCCGATCGCATTTGACCGAATGTCATTCTAGTAGCGGCACTCGCACTCACACGCAGCAGCAGCAATCTCGTGTACACTATAACTCTATCTGCCATCACACGTTTTTTTTGTTGGGTTATTCTCTTCCCTCTCTCCCTCCCCTTTTTGGTAGGGGGGGGTGGAAGGCTCACGCAAGAGAGAGAGAGAGGATTTAGACCCTGGCCCAGTGGGGACATTCTTTATCCTATTGACGACTGCGTTGGGGAGGTTTTTTTTTATTTTGGGGTGGGTGGGACGAACATTCCTGTGCTCATTGTGAAGCCTCATGTGTGTCGCGTCTACCTGCGGGTGCCCACCTGTCTGCTCCTCCACGTTGACGATTCGCCGGCAGAGCCAGGTAAAGGTGTCTCGGCTCTGTGTGTGTTGTGTGTTGTGTAGTCTCTCGTGGAGCGGTGGCGCAGTGGTTTAGCGAGCGGCGCTACCTCCAGACCCGAGTTGGATTCCCGCTCACGGCCACCAACACCAGGGACGATTATCTGAACCGGTACTAGGCCTCGCCTAAGTCGACTCAGCCTAAAATGAGTACGGTACTTGGTTCGATTTGTAAACATCGCTGCTAGGGAGACAAAGGCGGCCGGGTGTGGTGCTGGTCACCCATCCCCTCGTGTACCGTGCCGGTCTTCATAGGTGCTCGTGAACAGCACTTGCCCCAAAATCCTGTTCAGGCTATACGGGTGATCTTTGGCTCTGTGTATGTAACATCACTTGGATGGTGAGCGGTGGCGCAGTGGTTAGCGCGCACTGCGCTTATGAACCCGGCGATCCGAGTTCGATTCCTGCTCACGACCGATAACAGTGGCGAATATTTGAACCGATCCTGAACTTCTGCCCAGGTCGATTCAGGGGAGACAAAGGCGGCCGGGCGTGGCGTTGCCCACACCCCCCCCCATACCCCACCGCTCGCGTGCCCGTTGGCAGCCTTCCCCTCGTAGCTTGCTCACTTGAACACAGCACTTGCCCCAACAGTCTGCCGAAGCCTACACGGGGGGCCTTTGTCTTTTGTGAAATCACTTCAGGTGGGACGAGACGAGGTGCATTTCACAGTCAATGCTGGCTGCTGAAAGTTTTCTGGGTGGTAGTGGTGGTGGGTGGGGGTGGGGAGGTTATCTTGATTTCTGAATAAATGGTCGAGGGTGGTGGTAGTGGTGTCTGCGATGGTGCGGTGATAATACCCAGGGGATGCATTGTTCATCTGCACTCGTTCTCGCGAGCAGGTATCCCCCCCGGGGTTGTGAGTGATTTATCCCCACGATAGAGCCTCCTGCCCGCATACTTCCCGGGTAATTTGTTGGTACTGCCAGCGTGGAAGCTGTTAAGTTCTTGTAATTTTTTATATATTCAGTGCCCTGGGTCTCCTTGTTATGTGTTTGTGTACGGACTCACGTAATGCATGTATTCATAAAACCTAAACAACGCGTAATGTAATACAACACACATTTCTTTATCGCGTTTGTGTATACATGTGCTACATACACACACACATTAATGCATGCACATACTTTGTACTCACACATTCCAACTACGTATTTGTTCATACATACAGATTGCACGTACGCTGCACGTGCATGCCAATTCGCTTTCATGTTCTTCCACACGCAATGGTCAGCACGACTGTTATCCCATACGGTTTACAACCCCGTATCTTGTACAGGGAAATTGAGTTTTGAGGTCCATACGGCGCGTACAGCCGTTTCAATACGGCCGGTACATTATTATTCATTCGTTTAATATGCACATCAGCTACGTGGCACTGTGGTTACGATGCTTGACTCGTACTCATAATGTGACGGGTTTAAATTCTGGTTTATGGATTACACGGTCGATAATATCTGTTGAAACAATCAAATGTGTACCACGTTGAGGACAGTCACCAGTGATTGTCCCCTTGAGGGGCTGGTCTCTTGCCATGGAATGTGGAATTTCCACCACCGGCTCAGTTGCCAATGGAGATATTGGCTCATTGGAGTAGGAAGACAACACTTTGATTACTCTACGGACTTTATACAAACTCGGGCGGTCGTCAGTAATTCTCATGACACCACTAAATCATGGCAACGATGAATAACTTCACGGAACGGAATTTATTGAAATACGCTCATTCTTGAATTTGGTAGCAGGAGGAAAAATGTTTTGGCCAATATTGACCATTTATCTTCAATGTGAATATATACAGTACGTGTTGAATTTCTTTCGCAGCGTACGTAGCCAACCGCGCCTCTCAGATACAAGAAAAAAGTTCCCTGGTTTTCGATTCCCGACTCGTGTGCCTTCTGTTTGTGGAGTTTATAAGGTGTTCCCCCCCTGTTCTGCATGGGTTTCCTCCCATAGGAAAATAAAAAAAAACATTAAATGTAACTGGTATTGATCCAAACATCCCAGTGCTGCAAAATACTATTTTTTTAGGGGGATTGCACACAATAGCAACATCGCCCCCTATTGCGACAATTTAGCAGGACCCTCCTGAAAAAGAGTTTGGGGCACAGTGCGGCTTCCCTGGCTAGAAACAGCGTAAGAGTAATAATAACAATAATTAATTGAGACCACTGACTAACCGTTTCCAAGCAGCCAAGTGAGATTTTTTGTTCATAGCTGGTATAACCACACAAATCCAGACATCACCGTACACTTATAAATTACATCCATCTCACAGGATATGACTGATGGGGGTATTACTAGAATGTATTCAATGCAAAAACACACGGTACAACCAGAAAAAAATACATCAGAGAGCTACACAGCACGACTGCAAGAGACACTGAGAGGCTCATGCATCCATACGTTAACAGCACACGCGCTTGTAAGTAAAATATACCAAATTAGACTTATTGCCAAGTGTGGCTCACCCCGTGTGATCCCAGACTCACCATGCATGCTCCAGTATTTGCCCGTCACTCATGGCAGCAGAGATGCATAAGTAATTAGCGTAGAGATTGTATACGTTGTCATTGCTGTTAAATATTCATTTCTCTGAGCTCAGGCGCTGGACGATCTTTCTCGTGTGAAATCAGCGTAATTTTCGACACGCTTTGTTTTGCTTGTTTTATTTTTCTAAATCAATATTGCCCAAGGTGGGAAAAAACTCCCTCCGGAAAGTGCTCTTGCACTGTCTGAAGTGCAGTGCTACTACAGAGGACATGCGATTTGTGTGCTGTGTGTCATGGAGCCAAACCATCACATGCTGGGTGACATGCTGGGTGACACGCGTACCAGGCAGGCCCTTAGGCCAGTGGACCTTCTAGGAACATGGTGCAGTGAATCCTCTAACCGCCTCTCTGCCTCCCATCAACTCACTTGGACTTTCTTCGGTGCCACAGTTGTACGGAGATCCTGGCTCGTGGGGGCTCATGGGGGGAGAACCTGTTTGCAAGGCCGTCTTCTGGGCTGAGTAGATCCTGAGGGTAATGATCACCACAGATGGCCTCCCTGTTCAGATGGGAGGCGTGTGTGCCCCGAAGGATTATGGTCCAAGGCCAGGGCCAGCACAGTCGGCTGAGATTCTCTAACCACAAATTGGTTGGAACTCAAGAAAGTCAATCTAGTACTGCGCACTCCCGACCGGTTTCTATGAAGGTGACTCGTGATGGTGAGATTGTCCAAGGTGATGGCGTTGGCTGAAATCGGCAGACAAGGCTCCCCTCATCTCCCCCATCTCATGAGGAAAGACCAGCTTCTTCCAGACTAAGCAGAGTCTACTCTGAGCAGCCTGTGACAGCAAGGCACATTGCAGGAACCTCAGTCGCAGTGCAGGCTTGGTACCCAGGCAATGACTCAACCCTCGCATGGGTGAGATCCGGTTGGTTTTGGGTTCCAATGCTGGTCTCTCATGAATTTCTCTCACTTCAGTGTTAGTGCGGTGGCATGGATGGCCAAGCTGTAGCGCATGTTTGTCGCTTGTCTCAGGGACAAGCAGCTGCCCTGGCTAATACGATGCACGTATTAACCGTCTGCAGGCCGTTTCAGCGTTCAACGCCCATGTGCAGCTGCCAGCAGGGGAGTCTCCCCCCCCCCCCCGACGCAAGACACCTCCAGATGCACTGCATGGGAGGCGCGGTATCAATATGGAATCGTGATGGTGATGATGCTGAGAGTTATTCTGGTGGCTGTAGTGATGCGGGAGGTGGCGAGTGTGCACGGTGAGTCTTGGATCACATGGGGTCAGTCCCAGCGAGTGGTAGGTCTCATCCGGTGTACGTGTACCTTATGGGTGAGAGAAAAAAACGGGTGTTTTTTTTCGGAATGCCTCTCCATTTTTTGTTGTTGCTTGGTTCTATAAATTAAAGGTGTTTGTTCAGTAAATGCTCGTTTTATTCTGTCGCGCGAGGCACATGTAGATTAAAGCGTGTGGCGGCATGCTTTTCTTAGTGTTCAAGGGTGGCTTAAATGGCAACCGGTGTTATATCACAACAAATTAAAAGAGGAGCTTAGAAATACAACATAATTATTATTTAACACACCTGGAGTACATTGCGTAGTTGCATGCGATCAGGTGTAATTATTGCCTAGCATATTCTATAGCTAGTTATCTCAGCAAGGTTACCATGTTTTTTTATGTGGGGCATCGTCTAGATAGACGTGGAAGGCCCAAACGAATAGTGATAGTTTTCTGGGAATGTCTGGCGGAAGAACCAGTCTAGAAAGATTTGAACTTCCACCTCCGGGAAAACTTATCCGCACTCCAGGTGATGTTGTGGACATTTAGTCCAAGTGGACGATGTTTAGGACCTCGATTGTGGATACAGCTGCGAAAATCTTTGGCCTGAAGGCAGTTGGTGCCAGTTATGGCAGCAACCCTAGGACCCGCTGGTGGACACCAGTGGTGAGGGAAGCTGTCAGGTTGAACAAGGGGGCTTTCTGAGCTATGCTCGGAAAAGGTCTCAATTGAGAGGTACCGGCTTGCCAAGAGTGGCAACCCTAGCAGTCGCTAAAGCGAAAGCCTGGGCATGGGAGGAATTTGGAGATGCCATGGCGAGGGACTGCCAGGCAGCTTTAAAGATTTTATTGCAAACCAGCCTGGGCCATGTCGACAGGACGTAGCCCAGGCTGTTTTCAGTAAGGGTGGCGTAACACTGACCTCAACTAAGGAGATAGTCGAGAGGTTGAAGGAACACTTTGAGAAGCTCTTCAACCCGGTGGACATGCTCTCCTCTCAGGAGGCAGCCCTGGAAACAGCTGCGGCCTTCGTACCGGCAACGCTGCTGGGGTGGACGAGATTCGCCCAGAGTTGTTGAAAGTGCTGGACAGTGTAGGAGTGCCATGGGTAACGCGCCTCTTCAATGTTGCATGGAAGGCAGGTACAGTACCTCTGGACTGGCAAACTGGGGTTGTGGTTGCCATTTTTTTTAAAAAGGGGACCAGAGAGTGTGCTCCAACTACAGAGGAATCACAGTCCTCAGCGTCCCAAGTAAAGCTTATGCCAGAGCACTGGAGAGGAGGCTCCGCCCAGTGGTCGAGCATCAGATTCAGGAGGAACAATGTGGATTCCGTCATGGTCATGGAACAATGGACCAGCTTTTTTCCCTCTCACAGATATTTGAGGGGTCATGGAAGTATGCTTCTCCAGTCTACCTCTGTTTTGTAGCCTTTGAGAAAGCATTTGACCGTGTTCCCCGCAATGTCTTGTGGGAGGTGCAGCGGGAGTATGATGTACCGGTGCCGCTTTTGTGCGCTATGGTCGTGAGCTTTGGGTAATAACCGAAAGTATGAGATAGCAGGTACAAGGGGCCGAAATGAGGTTTATCCGCAGAGTTGCCGGGCTCACTCTCCGTGATCGGGTGAAGAGTTCGGTAATCCGTGAGAGCCTCAGAGTCAAGCCGCTGCTCCTCCGGATCGAGAGGCGCAGTTGAGGTGGCTTGGGCACCCGGTAAGGATGCCCCCCGGTAGACTCCCCCTGGAACTCTACCGAGCAAGTCCCACTGGGTGAAGACCCCGGGGCCGGCCCAGGACACTCTGGTGGGACTACGTCGCTCGGCTGGCCTGGGAACGCCTGGGAATTCTCCAGGAAGAGCTACAGTCTGTGTATAGTAGTGTGGTGTATAGTGTAGTGTATAGTGTAGTAGTGTATAGTAGCGTAGTATGGTGTATTGTATAGTGTAGTGTATAGTGTAGTATTGTATAGTAATGTAATGCTCGAGTCTGTCGTCAGGGAAAGGGAGGTCTGGACCGCCCTACTCAACATACTGCCGCCGTGACCCTAACCAGGACAAGCGGACTGAGAAACGAACAAATGAACGAACAAACCCCCACATGTGTTCACTTGGAACACTGACGCCTGGATCTAAAAGGTAGCAGTGCTTTGCTCTCTGACAAGAGGTGGATGAATCAATGATTCATGGCTGGTCCCCGCTATTGCAGCGGTCTGGCTCCAAGGGTATGGCTCCTTCTAATTGTATCGGTCCATTTCTGTGATGGCTTACGCATGTCAGCCTTTTGTGGCATCCTTTGTGTTGCTCACAATTGCAATTCTACCGGTGGCTCCACAGCAACAGAGGCCACGGAAATGGGAGTCAAATGGGCGGCATATTCAGTTGTCAGTCTCTGGAGCGGCAGTCGATTTACTTGAGCCCTTTTCAAAAATGATACAGCCGTTATTGCCGATGACATCATCACGTGACACGCCTCACCTCCCGTCCAGCGGCACACGTGGGAACAAAGGTGATTCTTTTTTTTTTTTCAAACTGTTTTTGTAATATGATTGGTCATGTAATTGAACTAACAAGAGATATAGAGAACTCAATCACTTCCATAATCGGATTTCCCGGCTCTGCATACTTTCTATTCCAATACAGAGACCAAGACACACATCCCCCGTGGAGCCTACATAGACTGTTGGGGCAAGTGCTGTTTGTGAGCACCTTTAAGAGTCAGCACAAGGGGGGGGGGGGGGGTTATTTAACACGAAGGCTTTTATGGGGTTGCTATTGTTGGCACCACGCCCAGCCGCATTTGCATCCCCAGTGGCGATTTTTACACACCGCCCCAGTTACTCATTTCAGGCGGATTCGACCTAGTGGAGACTCAGGACTAGTTCAGATGTCACTCACCACTAATGTTAGCCGGAACCTTCAATACAACCACTACTCCACCGTTTTAGCTAATGATACAAAAGACGAATACGAAGATCCCTACAAAGGCTGTCGGGGCAAGTGATGTTAATGAGCACCTATTAAGGCCGGCACGGCACACGGTCGGCACCACGCTAGGCCGCCTTTGTCTCTCCAGTGCTGATGTTTACCCACTGCACCAAATGCTCACTTAAAGCCAAGCCAACCCAGGGGAGGGCCCGGGACCGGGTTCAGATATCCGCCGCTGTTATTGTCCGCGAGTGGGAATATAAACTCGGGTCGCCGGGTTCGTGTCACAGCCCACTGACCACTGCACGTGCACACGCGGCCTGAGCACTGCATGTGAAGTCCGTAGCGCAGCGTGCTCGCGTGCGGGAGCGCGCTCTTGCCAGGTGAGAGCTGAAGGGGCAGGAATGCCTGTGCTGGTTCACCCACGGTTTACCTATTTGGCTTCTCACAGCTCCTGTAAGGGTGTGGCCAACGTTTCTGAGAAAACAAGCAAGTTCACGTTTGACAAATATTGCTCTTGGATATCATGGTGTAACATTACAACATACATGCATGATGTGCGCACGTGCATGGCTAATATGCATACGTGTAGGCTGCTTTGTGTGTGTGTGTATATATTCTGAATATTTGGTACATGTGAAGCAATTGGCGGGACCCCGGGGTCCCATCACTGCCCCGGGGTGGAAAAACCCGCGTAGCGACACGAGTCTTGTTTCCTTACCGACAACAAAACTAGTGTCAATCGATTGGCCTCGTCGAGAGCTACTTGGGGCACTAAGTTTCGTTAAAGTTGAAAAATTACACAAACACGTTAAATTCACCGCCTGGGGGGCGGCGGGCTCGCCTTGGCAAAGAAGCCGAGGATCGACGGCTGACCGGAGGGCGTCGTAGCCACGCGCGACTGCGGCGGACGCCCCCCGGGGCTCGCGTTTGGCCGGTGGGGTGGCGCCCATCGTGTCGATCGCCGCCTGCTGCTGCTGCTGGCGCTTGTTGGCGCGAGTCTGGGCGGGCGGCGCGTTGCTGTCGGGGTCACGAGTGGGCGGACTGAAAAATAATCATTATTGACCTGATTTTTGCGGGACCCTGGGGTCCCACCAAATTATTCGTGTGTAGAGTAGTAGTTAGTGACGTCATGTCACGTTCGCCCTCTGGTACGATGACGTAACGGATGGTAACGTCATGCACAGGGGGTGGGATGGTGACGTCATGTCCCCCTGGGGGATTTAAGCTGGAACCCGTCACGTGTTCAGGGTCGTCTGGAGAGTCTGGGAAAGTGAAGGGTGGAAGTCGGGACCCAGGGTAGAGGGAAATTGGCACCAGGCTAGGGTAGCCTGTGGGTGCTAGGGACCTCCCCCAGTAACCTTCCCCCGGTAGAGCGATGGGACCCCGGGGTAGGGGGAAATTGGCACCGGGCTAGGGTAGCCTGTGGGTGTGCTAGGGACCTCCCCAGTACCTTTCCCCCTGGGGTGTGGCGTGTAGGCAGTGAGCGTGCAGTACACGGAGTCGTGTGTGATGAAAGGTCTTTAATAAAACAACTGGCACAAGCCCCTACATGAAGATCTGCCTCTGAGTCATCATTTATGCCTCAACACATGCATTAATCATGTGTGCAATATCACATCTGTGTGGATCTGTGTTTACTGCTTTTCACGTGTTGAACGAGGCGTCGATTTGTCGATTAAATCGATACTTGCATTCACAATCAGTGCATTGAATAGTGCGTGAGGGAAGCGATTGTGATGGATTCATACATCTAGTATGTCGCCACGGTTTGCGGGATATTACTACCTCACCTGGTATACAGGAGGTCGTGAACTCGATCCCCAACCCTGATGCCTGCTGTATATTTTGAGTTTGCATGTTCTCCCTGTGGTTGTGTGGAGTTGTCTCAAGGTCCTCCGGTGATTCCCCTCCACATTTAAGAACGTGCGTTTTAAGAGTATTTGGCTGCTTTTACATTTCCACGTGATAAGCCACTTCGTTGAGCTATCATTTGTGGCCAGATCCCTTCTGAAAAAAGAGCTACATAGCCCAGTGGGGCCTTACCTGGTTAAATTAAATAT